CCTAAAATTCTCAAAAAAAATCGTTTCCACATTTCCAACACGTACTCACTTCCTAAAATTCTCAAAAAAATCGCTTCCACATTTCCAAACGCTTCGCTTCCGCGTATCCGTTTCTGATTCCATGCAACCTAGATAAATATATATATATATCATTCAATCAGAACTTCTTCTACATTACATTTTGACAGTAATACCAATTCCTAAGCTTTTATCTTATTCTTATTTAATTTGTTAATATAACTATAGTAAAACTCCAGATCTCTGACTTAAGAAAATTTTATACATGGAAGCAGTTTTTGATAAACCGCTAGCCAGTCTACATTAAAACTGTTCTTTTTATCTTTCAAAAGTTAGATTAAAAACAAAAAATCAATCAGTTACTGTAGTGGTAATGTCATTTGCTAATCACATTAGGCAGCTGTTTTAGATTATATATATATATATATATATATATATATATATATTATATGATATATTTTACGTTAAATATGTTACTATATTTTGGTATTCTACATTTATCCTATGTACTTAAATGAGTTTAAACTCTCTTACCTAATGAATCAATAACAAGAAAACCTTTATACAGTCTAGGTTTCTTGACACTATAATTTGATTAAACGTGTGATATTATGTTTGCAAACATATATATAGTACACCACTTAATACATTGTATATCAATTAAGTAAATCTAAATAGTTTGTTTTTTGCCCTAAGATAAGACGTGAAATTATTTTGGTCTAACTAAAAAGGAAAAGGTGTGAGACATAGAACTGACAAAAGGCAGGTAAGGTTTTGAAAGTCGACTGCTTGTGGGCTGGCTTAATTAACAATTCTTTTTGAGTATAGTTTAAACTTTAATCATAATGTAATGATGTTTTTAAGAGTGTCCTTTTTGTATTAAAACTGGTAAACTTTTGTTTATTATTAAATTTTGGATTTTTCTTCTTGAACTCTGGTGGCACCAGAATATTCTCCTACAATTTTCAAGACTTTATAATGTATAGTATTGTTCCCTTTGATATATATAGAATAAAGATGCCAAGACAGAAATGTATCCAAAAATATAAACATATATATAGACTGGCTCCTATATATAGATTAACATCCTTGGAAAACCGATTTCGAATTTCCATATATGTATGATTGTTGAATAATTTTTTATATATGTTCAATTATATCAAAATTAAATTAAAGTTGTGTGTGTATTTATTGTTTGTTAAATAAAAATATGACTGAGGAGTGAGGGTACATTATATCCTCAGAAGTTAAATAAAAATATGTAGAAATAGCATAATGGTGCAAAGCAAGACAGATGTGGATCTAGACGGTACATTACAGATATACCACATGCTCTTGGTTCATAAGAAAGTGGAAGAATATATACTTTTTTGCAGATGCATTATTAGGTTTTAAGACATATATCCCTTTGTGATTTTGCCTCGTACTCGTTGGGAGATAAAAATAAAAAGAAGTAAAGTGCCAATAATATCGTAACTAAAATTTAGAGTGTCCATATATTATATATATACAATTTACCAACCTTGCATTATAGAAATTGATACATATATAACACGCGGCTAGTCTTTCAAAAGTTGTGTCTTTTAGAATCACTACTTCGATTTTTGTATGGGAAGAGCGTTGATTTTTCGAGATGGATCCCAGACCGTCATCCAACCGAAAAAATTATACCCAAAAAATATAAGAACTTCCTAAATCACAATATATATCGGTCATCTAAATTTCAGGGCTACGAACTTGTTTTAAGGTACTCGTATAAGTATATATATAGACGAGTATAAAGTATATACATATATACGTAGAAGAGGGTACGATCAATAAACGACATTTCAAAGAAGACAAATGATAGATTCATGACATTAAAATTCGGCGATATGTATCAAATAAATTATATGGTATATACGACGAGAGTTAAAAGTATACATATGTCATTTAGTGAATGATAATGGTGTTATTGTTTTTACTCCCATTTTGACCAATCCAACACATTAGGTGAGGTCAATCACTATAGACAATAATTACAAGACAAAAGAAACATTTTGTTTCTTGACTTTTCTATTACTAACGTTATATATGCTAAAGAAAGAATAAAAACCGATATTGCATGCTTAATTAAATCATATAGGTAGACCACTGATCAAGAGTGATGATATGATCATATGAATTAAACATATGTTTTTGTTACACATAAATTTATCTAATAAGTTCTTTTATGTTTTTAGCTAAAGCATACAACGAACAAGAACCATAATACGCCCACAGCTTTAATAGTCGTATTTCCTTATATACAAATAAAATTGTAACAATTGTATTTTAACAAGTAGAGGTTCTATATAAGCTGTTAACTTTTCCATGCAACTTCCTGTGAAAACTGAAATGGGACCTTAATTAAGATTCTCTTTCATGGGTCATAAAAGTAACCAAAAGATAAAGTCACACTCTCCAATTCCTTTTCCACAAAGTTGATAGAGAGACTCAGAGCATCCATTAATTAGTGCTAACAGATAGTTATCTCTAAACACAGATGTGGTTGTTAATTGTTGTTACACACAAATCAAGTTTCACTTTGCAATAATATATTCTAGGTCGTCCATCATCTATATATATACAACTTAGAATGATTTCTAGTTTTTCTTTAGATTTCATACATATTTCTCACAATCGCAATAGTGATGATACCTAGTTATATTCTCTTACTGTCAAATTCAATCATTAGTGATGATAAAATAAGACATATTGACCTGTCAAATTCAATCATTAGTGATGATAAAATAAGACATATTGACGTTAATTACACATACATATGTGCATATGAAAATAAAAAAAAACAAGTTATAAATAGAATAGAATATCGGAACTTATCAAACGGTCAAACTTTGGCCCACTTTGATCCATAGTTTTTTCTTTTCTCATCCAACTTGATCCATAATTTATGGCTTATAAAAGCATAAATGATTTGAAATTTTGTGTCAACGTGTTTCCCAAATTCTTGAAGCATTGTAAATGTCATACTTGGGCTCACCAACTTCCCAAAGCAAAGAATCCGGCAAGTCATTTAGAAGCAAAGAGAACATCTAACCTAGCTAGGAGATCTTTGTCGTATTGCTTTGAATCTCGTCAGTCGCTGATGCATTTTTTGGAAGGGTTGAAGCATTAAGTATAGGTGATTCTTCTTGATGCGGTTAATAACATGTTTGCCGGACGTCTTTGCCAGAGTAAAGACGGATCCGTCCTTCACCAAGAATCCGAGTAGCTGACAACCAGCACATACATATTGTTGGGGACATTAATTGTTGAGGTCGAAACTGACAACACATAAGGATTTGTAAAAAAGGTAAAAGAGTTTATGAAAAAAAGTTTAAAAAGTAACACAAATTAACAAAAAGTTCAAAGTTCATTCATACAAATTAACAAAAAATTCAAAATTCATACATGAATATTTCCATGATCTCTTTCAGATGTGTCACCAACAACATTTCCTTGCACCGGAGTTGGTTGAACCCTCTCATCTTTGTTCGCATCCCAAATCATATGAAATAGGACTCGTGTCTGAAAATAGTTGTCTACGACTGCTAACCGGTATTCATCATTAGGGTCGTCTCTCACCCATGGCAACATAGGCATTTGCCATTGGTCCAAAACTATTTTTCAAAAATTATTAAAGAAAAAGGGCTCAATTTTTAGAAATTTTTTTTTTAGTAAGAGAATTTAACTTTTTTTTTAGTTTTGCCAAGGGTCCTCCCATAGATTGAGACGACACTGTTCATCATTGTCCAGCTTGTTTTTATACCACCCGTCGTGGCTAATAAACTACAACCCTCTAGGAAAAAATTTCTTCCAAAAGTAAACCCATTTGTCACTATTGTTCGGTATGGCACTGATGTGTTTGTTTTTCTTTAGTCGAGTTCTAGTGGTGAAATACCAAAATTGATTAGGAGGGTTACACAAACTAACAAAAAATCAAAGTTCATTTACTGTTCACACAAATTAATTAAGAAAATCAAAATTCATATTTTTTCAAAGTTCAACCTAACAAAAAGTTTAAAGTTCATTCATAATTCACAATAAATAACAAAAAAAAAATTAAAATTCTTCTACTTTTCACACAAACTAACAAAAAAGTTTAAAGAGTCACACAAACTAAAAAAAAATTAAAGTTCATTCACTGTACGTATATACGTGCCTTAAATGATGACTCCATGGTGATGAGGTAGCAAAAATTATCGACGTGAAAGTAATCAATAATAGCATTCTTCAAACTTGAAAACAAGCAAAAAGCTAGCAAGTCCATTATCTCCAAGTTAGGTGGAGAGGCGCCCAAAGGATAGGGACTCAAATTATCAGCTCCAAATGATGGGAGACATCCATTATCAATTTTCATTTTGCAAATTAGATGGTAACTTTTGAAGTGTAGTTTGAGAAGTTTCTTGAAACAGCATGGATAATCTTAATTTTGCTTCATATAATCTTAGGTTTGGTAAGATTTTGTTTCATATAATCTTAATTTTGATCCGTCTAATTCGATATGTCTAATATTTATGGTGTTGACAAAATAAAAAAATGAGGATTTAATCAGTATTAAAGTGTCGGGTTAATAATATTGTAAGATTTTATTAATGTCGATTCAAACCTGTCCCATCATTTAACCTTGTCCCATAATATAAGCTGTCAGACTGTCATGTCGTATTGTAAGATTTTTTTATATTTTTTTTCCAGGAATTAGTCTCGATCTCTATAGTTTTGGGGATTTACCTTAAGTTATAAAATAAAAATAAAATAATGATGTTGATAATGTAAAAGAAAAAATACCCCATGTGTAAATTAGGAAATCCCGAACCATTCCAAATCTTTTTTTTTACCCGTTTTGAAAATATAATTTTTGATCCCATAAAGCCCTTTTAGGTGTAAGATAATGGGCTTTATGGCCCAAATTTGAATATCAACAAAACGCTGTCGAATCTCAATAGTTTCTGTTTTTAGTTTTAAGTCTCGCGATTTGTTTCTTCTTCTTCCTCTCGTTCTCTCAAATTCCTCCAAATCAAAGCTTCGTTGATCTTCCTTAGTGCAGCTTTCGTTTCCAAAGGTAATCATTTTTCGATCTCTAAGTTAGTAGAAATTATCAAAACCTAATTGTTATCCATGTATTGTAATCCCTTTCTTAGATTAGTGTAAGGGTTTAATCTTTGAATCGAATTTTACCGATTTAGGAAACGGAATTTGATGTTAGCATAGAAACCCTAATTTTGGTTTAGTTGCACAATTTTCAATCTCTGAGAAAGCTTTGATTTTTGTTATTCTTCAGCAATGGACTCAAAATCTCTGGCTAAATCGAAGAGAGCTCATACTCAACACCACAGTAAGAAATCGCATTCGGTTCATAAGCCGAAAGGTCCGGGAGTTTCAGAGAAGAATCCGGAGAAGCTGCAAGGGACACAAACCAAGAGTCCGGTTCAATCTCGACGAGTCTCTGCACTCCCGTCGAATTGGGATCGGTATGATGATGAACTTGATGCAGCTGAGGATTCGTCGATAAGCCAACCGTCGGATGTTATTCTGCCGAAAAGCAAAGGAGCGGATTATCTGCATTTGATATCTGAAGCTCAAGCTGTGTCTCATTCAAAGATTGAGAACAATTTAGATTGTCTATCTTCGTTAGACGATCTTTTGCACGGTATGAAATCGGATAGCAAATGTTGTTCCCGTTGTTCGTGCAAAGTATTCAAATTTATGAATTGTTGCAGATGAGTTTAGTCGCGTAGTTGGATCTATGATCTCGGCCAGAAGGGAAGGTATACTTTCATGGATGGAAGATGACAACTTCGTTGTGGACGAAGATGGATCAGCTTCATATCAAGAGGTAATACTACTCTTGTATCTCAGTTAAGATGGAGGTTTAACTTGCTAATCATCTCACGATTTGCTAACTTTTCTTAAGTGAAGCCTGGATTCCTCTCCTTGAATTTGAATGCTCTGGCAAAGACGCTAGAGAAAGTGGATTTGCACGAGCGACTCTACATTGAACCTGATCTTTTGCCACTGTCCGAGCTGGTACTTACTGTATCTAAACCACTAGACATAAATATCATTAAGCTCTTTGTTTGACATATTCTATATTATGGATTGTGCAGTGTACATCCCAGACAAAAGTTAGCCGCAATGAAGAACCGAGTCATTCACACACAGCTGAGAACGGGGATGCTGTCACAATAAGGGTAAATGAGCCGGTTCAACAAGAATCCACTGAAAAGAACGACCCAGTTGTCGTACCAGGAGAATCATTAGTCGTGGAGGCTGAGTCTCTAGATCTAGTCAATGATATACCAATACTCACAGACGAGTCAGGGAAATCTTCAGCGATTGAAACTGATCTAGATTTGCTCCTCAACTCCTTTAGTGAATCACATACTCAGCCTAACCCAGTGGCCAGTTCCTCGAGTACATCCAATCAGAATCGTTCGGTCCAAAAATCTTCAGCTTTTGAAACTGAGCTGGATTCTCTTCTCAACTCTCATAGTAGCGAAGAACCATACAACAAACCAGCAAACCCATCTGATCAAAAGATTCACACGACGGGTTTTAATGATGTGCTTGATGATTTGCTCGAGAGTACTTCAGTGTCGAGCAAACCAAAGCAGACCCAGACCTCATCGTCGTCCTCGGTTGGAAAATCCAAAGTTTTAGATGATTTTGATTCTTGGTTAGACACGATTTGATTTATTTGTTAACTTGCACCTTTTTGTATTATTTTTGTATTACACATAGATGAATGAGAATATTACTTTATTATCTATAAAAAAAGTCTTCTATAACTGTTCAAATCTCAAACTTGTCCAAAAAATAGCAAAAACAAGTCTGGAGAATTGGTAAAATTGTTCAAAGTGACTTTTCTTTCTCTACTTGTTAGGGCTAGGCTCCAAGTTCATTGCTTGGAGATTAAGCAAGAGATCACTGGAGTTTAGGTAAACCTTGTTAGCCGATCTAGCTATGGTCTGAGCTATCTCTCTTGCAGCTTCAATCTTCCTCAGAGTAATGAAAGCTTCATTGTTTGCAATAGCTTGGCCTATGAGCTGAGCACTCTTAGCTTCTCCCTGTGGATCACAAAATTGTTAGTAAACACACAACTTATAAAACGAGAGACACATAATGCTTAAACAAAATCCAGACAACTTACCTGAGCGCGGATAACAGCACTTTTCTTGTCTTGCTCAGCCTTTTCGACTATGAACTTCGCCCGTTCTGCTTCCTGAGCCGCAACTTGTTTCTTCTCAATTGCTTCAGTGAACTCTTTGCCAAATTTGAGGTTTGTGATGGAAACATCATCTAAAGCAATGTTGAATTTAGATGCTCGCTCTGTCACAATATTGCGTATCTCCCTACTCACAGCCTGGAAGAGTTTCAAACATTATAGGATTTCGAACAAAATTTTGCGATTAGAACATTAGAGTAAGAATCCTGAGATACTAACTTCTCTCTGTGTAATGAGCTGGCTTGCATTGTACTGAGCCACTACTGCTTTCAGTGTTTCGTTGATAATGGAAGGGAGAACTCGCTCTCCGTAATTCTGACCGAGTGTTCTGTAAATCTCGGGCAATCGGTCTCCCATGGGACGTGTAAGAACCCTAAGCCCAATTGTCACCTGTGAAATCCACCAAACAAGCATCAGTAAACAAAAGCAGATAGAGTTGCAGAGTAACCTATTACACACACACACATAGACACATACCGTTTGAAGATCATGACTTCCAGTTTCGCTATTCTCAACGTAAGGTCGAGCACGAACATCGTAGATAATTGCTCTTTCAAACAATGGTATCTTAAAATGTGTACCCTCTGGATAAACCTGAAAACAAACACAACTCTTTGTAGCATTGCGAGATAGAGGTACAGGGGAATCAACTCTTATAAAACAATACAAACCTTATCTTTGATACCGCTAAACCGGTTAAACACGATGGCACGGTGTCCTCCATCGACATTGTACATACTACTACCAATGCAATAGAGTCCAAGCCCACCAATAACACCAAGCTTAAGCAAGGCAGAGAGTCCAGGTGATCCAGGAACGTTTGGAACTTTTTTGACATTCATTTTTCTAAACACAAAAGAACCAACACAGCAAATTGATTACTGAGAAGCTAATTCGATTTACACCAACAAAAAATCGATATTATATAAGAAACTAGAATCAACATAGATATGACTCTAAAGGCATCATTAGCTAAATCACTTGCAAAGCTAATGCGATGAGATAACTCAGATAACATCGTTGAAGAAGACACACAGAGACAGAGAGAAAGAGACGCACTTAAATTGAGCTCTTGATCGCCGGCGAAGTCAGGGTTAAAGCAACGATTAGAGATTGAAATTACCGGGAAGGTAAGCTTTTAGGGTTTTAATGTATAACCAACTAAAAGCAATGGCGGTGAATAACATGTAAGAAGAGGCTTATTGGGCCTATTAATATATTGTTTGCTTGCATAATACGTAAAATGCTGAATCTTTTTAATTTTCGAAGGCTAGGAAAAATGCTGAATCTTTGTCTTTATTGATTAACTAAAGGGATAATTAACTCACAAAACAAAATTAACGGTTTTGTCTTTCTGTATTTCAGACAAATTTTATTGATAAATAGTATATTATTAAATATATAACACTTATGTAATTTTGATTGGCAAAAATGTCTCACTATATATTGGTAAAATGATAATTTTGCAGAAAGTCAGATGTTATAGATAATAAACATTCGCACAAGAGGCAAGTGACAAGTCTATGTTTTGGACTTTTTTGTTATGAAGAATATGCATATTGTTTTATCAAAAATCAAAAATTAAAATAAATGTTTTACATTATTTATATTCTTTATATCCTTCATGGAGTTGTATATTGCAATCGTATGTGGCTGTCAATTTTTTCAGATCGAAAGAACTAACAAAAATACATATATCTTCAGAAAATGGTAATTTACTTTATTTCAGGAAATACATATATATGCACACGAAATAAGAGCACTTCCATCAATAGTGTCTCCATGAGACATCCATAATAAAAATAAATCAAAAATAAATAAAAAATACTTTTTTAATCAAAAAAGTTGAGACATTTTGATACAAGTTTCTCATTTGAGACATTGTGAGAAACTCTCTCTCTCATACACATGTCACTCCTAAATTAGTTTAACAATTTCCTTTTAAATTTAATTATTCTAAGATTTATAATATCAATTAAATAGTTTATAAGTTTTTATATTTTATTTTTTATTTTTCTATAATTCATAAAATAAAATTATCTATATATCAAGCTCCATTATACAAAAGTTTAAATTTTTATTATTATTATTTTTAATTGATATTAGTTAAGGTTAATATAAATATAAATTTCTACTTTTAGTTAATAAAATACTATAATATTAGAAAATAAATATGAGATGAATAATCTGATATTTTGTCAATATTTTGATATTTTTATAAATAATGTGTTATCTTTTGTCATTATTTACAAAATGTCCAATATAATTAAAATCTATTTGATAAAATGATGTGTAATTTTAATCATATTGTTTAATTTATATATCTTTATTATGGTTTTATATGTTGTTTAAAATTCAATTTATGTTTAATTGTGGTTTTAAAAATATATTATTTATAATAAATAGTACTATTAATTAATGCTTTTAAAATTATTAATATTCATTATATTATTTACTTCTATAGAAAATATAGTTATTTAGTTTGAATGACTATATTTAAGATATAATTTGATGTGTTTAAAAATATTATTGAAAAATAAATTTATTATAAAAATATAAATATTATATTGATGAGACATCCATAGGGATATCTCACCAATGGAAATAGAATTTTAGTGTAAGTTTCTCTAAATAAATTAAACATAAAAATATTAATATTATATTTGTGAGACACTCCATGGGTGTCTACCATTGGAGATGCTCTAATAATCTCTTATTTCACTTTTCGAATCATGCATCATATTTAACATATAAAGAAATTTATTATTACAAACCTCACAATTAAATCAATATATAGAAACAAACTCAAAAGAGGAATTTCAAACACAACACAACAAGTCCAAGACCAAACCCTAATCCAGTATTCATCTCACCGGAGCCAGACTTCTCTGACTGTGACGGAGAAGCCGTTTTCTTAGAGGAGTCTGAATCATCGGAGACATCAGGAGATTTTGATTTCGGAGGAGGCGCCACTGGTGAGATCTTGCGTTCCCCGAACATCTCTTCCGGCAACAATACCATGTCCACCACGTAAACCGCAAGAGGACGTTCTTGTCTTAATGAAGTACTGAGACGTGTCTCAACGATACCGGTAGATACATTGACTTGGTTCCCTTGACCGGTGAAGTTAAGTCCGTAAACCCCACCAGCGTCTCGACCTGAAGCTTGAGTGCTGACCGGGTTACTAACCGAGAGGAGATCTTCCAATGTGTAGAATTTGGGACTAACATGGTAAAGAATGAGTTTGACTTGGTCTTCCGGGCTCAATTTGTTTAGTGTTCCGGGTTTAAGGTTTTGAAAAGCATTGTCTGTTGGTGCCAACACGGTCATGCCTTCTGATGAACTGTTGATTTGGATATTGATTTGGTTTCCGATTTGAGTTGTGTTTAAAAGTCGGATAAGAGTAACAAATTGACCACCTTTTTCGAGGATTGCCGTGATGTTGATGGGACCAGCAGGGCCAGGAGCCGGAGCAGCGGGTTGAGCGGTTATCTCCGCGGAGAGGAAGACGGCGGTGAGGAGAAGGAGGAAGAGAGGAGTGGTGGCCATTGAGTTTTGAAGTTGATTTTGTGTTTGAGTTACGTAAAGGTTGGGAGTTAAATGATTTATATGGATGAGAAGAATGTTTAAGTGATGAGGTGTGGCTTAGTTGGAATGAGATGGGATTGGCTAATAAGTCATTTCGACAAAATTTGCCGACAAAATTTGGATTATCTATATAGTTTTACATATAACTCGTTTTGTGATCCTAATTTGTGTAATATATATGAAACTTTTAGGATAAATGGGAAATTATGTGCATAATATCGTAATGAGTTATAAGATCAAAATGTGTACAATTCACATCAAAATTGTATAGCATGAATAATACTAAGAATATTTGTGAATCTCTCTTTTACTATGAATGAATGTAAATGTATACTATTTACTTAAGAGTGACAACCGACACTAACACATACCTCTTACTCTTAGTCACAAAACTCCCAACTAATTAATGGTTGGTACTTAGTCTAATAAAGAAAGAAAAGGATGACTTGATAATTTATTATACTCATAATTAAATATACATAAATGGAACAATAATGAAAACACTTTTGATATTGGCTAGAAAGTATTTTTTTACTTAATCTAAAAAATATTAGTATACTTTAATTAGGAAAAGATTAGTATTTTTATGATTAGATATATGTAGAATTAGAACGCAATTCATAAGAAAACGCGAGTTGAAGCATATATATGTTGTAAATTAGATAGCCTATATAGAGATAATCCCCTATATTCGCCTATTATATGTAATATGTAGACACTACCGTGAATACAAAAATATAGATGCGCGCGATTCGTATATACATTGTACACACGAAGATGTAGACATGTATGTGAAATATGTGTTTGTTTCATTGTATGTTGTTAAAAGAAGAAAATCAATATAATGGACAAAACTCAAAAGTCCAAGGCTGGCTAAGTGACAGCCTGGGATGAACAAGTTGGAATATGGTGGGATTGGAATTTTATATTTTTCCTTTTCTATATTATATAATGTTATATTTTCTGATCATTAACAAGTCGTTTAATGAAGAAAATATATATTGTGATCGTTAACAATTTGTTTTATTGCGTTTGAACCGTTTCATCGATGATTACCAACCGTTTAACTTATCATAAATGATTCTTGGTGTAGAGTCATTAACATGTGGAGCATATATCTCGTGTTGCTCTCAATATTCCTTTCTAAAGTGCGTGATGCTTTTCTCTTGGCTTAACGCCGGCGTGTAGTTGAAGAGCACAAGAAAATTGAATTGAGCATAGAGCGTCCACTGGACAATGCATGTGTACCGCTTGGGCTATTACTATCAGGCCATCTTGTATTAGGTCCATTAGCTACCTTGTAATCTTGTATATAGATCCATTAGAAATTAGACCTAACGACAGTAAAAGATATATATTCTAGTCAATTTTGATCATAATTTGGAGTTTAATGGTTTAAGTTATCATTGTTTCTCTCTTTTATGATAAACGATTTATGTTATCATCGTTGTCTAACTATCCAGATTTAAATCCGTATAAAAACTTAACTTATATAAAATCATTGTTAAAATCAATTTTTTGAAAAACTAATTTTGAAAATTGTGATATCTGCGTTTTGTAAGATATATCAACCAATCAATATGTTTCAAACAAACATATTTAAATATAACTAAAGATACGTAGAATAGCTTGCAAGTTCATATATATGGTTCTATGATATTTATTAATGAGTTCGTAGTTTATAACATATGCAATTGTAGTGTTTACTTTGCAAATTCATATATACATATAAAAAAGTGGAAAAAATCTCAAGAATTTTTTTTTTTTTTTAAAGAAGAAATGGTGGGAGATGATGAACAGCATGCAGCCGTACACTCGTCACAGTATATATGTTCGTCGCGTCCACCACAACATATCTCACGTGTGTTTCAGCTGTTTCATGTCGCCACGTCTTATAACTTGTTTTGTTTTGGTAAAACCATCTTCTTATAGTTACCATTATTTGATGCTTATAAAATTTATATCATTTGTAGGTGTATCCGTAAGTGATTAAAGTCTTTCGAAACAAACATTTTATCAATTCGGATTTCGGGTTTGACCATTATTATACTAGGGTCCCATTACGATAAAACAAAAGATATACAGTATATAGCCTAGGATCAAACTTTTTAATCTTGTTATATCTTATTCTTGTCAACAAAATTATTAGATTTGTTTTTGGTCGACTAGGAATTAATATCAAGAGTCTTTGTGGAGACACGATAAAATCATAACGATGCAAAGAAAAGATCATAGTTTTCATACGCAATGATGAAATCCACAAATTAAAAATGATGGTTCAAAACCTTTTGAAAAAAAAAATTTGTTTTCGAAATTGTCAAGTCAAGCCGGTGAAGAATATTAGTTCAGCAAAACTTAAATTGAAATTATATACCAAAACAAAAATAATGTAATCATTTTATTCCACATATTATACAAATAAAAGTCGGATTTGGAGTAGTCCGTTTCCAACGTAATTGTAATAGTGATCAAATATAACATTAGTATATAATAAGAACGTTTTTTTTTTAATCCTGATACACAGAAAAACGAAACCGCTGTATACAATAAATAAAGATTTGTATAAAAAATAAAATAAAAATAAATAAATAAAAAAGAAATAAAGATTTGTCGTCCTATTACAAATACATGTGCCTATCTCAAAAGCTGATGTGTAAGAAACATGCACTTGAATAAGCCATGCAAATTGAAATGTGTCAACTCCATTTATTTTTTACATAGTGAAGCCAAAATTCATTTTCTGATGAAAACATAAAAATAGCAATTCAAGTGAAGTGTAGATTGTACATAGTCGACTCTATATGCCTGGTTCTTATCTCAATAAATTTATACTCAACAAATTTAATAGAAAAAAATCCAATAATTTCCCTATAAATAGCTTTTCATAACGCAAGTGAGAAACCACAAAAAGTAAGAAAGATATAAGAAATAACAAAATGGCTCGAGTCTCTTCTCTTCTTTCTTTCTCCTTAACACTTTTGATCTTTTTCCATGGCTACGCGGCTCAACAGGGTCAGCAGGGTCAGCAGGGTCAGCAGTTTCCGAACGAGTGCCAGCTCGACCAGCTCAATGCGCTCGAGCCGTCACACGTACTGAAGAGCGAGGCTGGTCGCATCGAGGTGTGGGACCACCACGCTCCTCAGCTCCGTTGCTCAGGCGTCTCCTTTGCACGTTACATCATCGAGTCTAAGGGTCTCTACTTGCCCTCTTTCTTCAACACAGCAAAGCTCTCCTTTGTGGCTAAAGGTTCGTACGATCCTTTTTATATCGAAATTCATATTCATGACTTATGGTTCATGCTTTTTAGTATTCGTCCATAAGTTTTTAACTTTAATTAAAGCTATATAATTTATATGTGTTCGATTGTAGGACGAGGTCTTATGGGAAAAGTGATCCCTGGATGCGCCGAGACATTCCAAGACTCATCAGAGTTCCAACCACGCGGAGGCGAGCAGTTCGAGGGTCAGGGTGAAGAAGGTCAAGGTCAAGGTCAAGGTGAAAGGCAGAGGTTCCGTGACATGCACCAGAAAGTGGAGCACATAAGGAGCGGTGACACCATTGCCACAACACCAGGTGTAGCACAGTGGTTCTATAATGACGGACAGCAACCACTTGTCATCGTTAGCGTCTTCGATCTAGCCAGTCACCAGAACCAGCTTGACCGCAACCCAAGGGTATAAACCAAAACCTCAAAAAAAAATCATTATATTAATTAGTTACAAAATAACAAAAAAATAATGTGATTATTTTTCTTGGTGTGTTATATATGAAGCCATTTTACTTAGCCGGAAACAACCCACAAGGCCAAGTATGGCTACAAGGACGAGAGCAACAGCCACAAAAGAACATTTTCAATGGATTCGGACCCGAGGTTATTGCTCAAGCTTTGAAGATCGATCTTAAGACAGCGCAACAACTTCAGAACCAAGAAGACAACCGTGGAAACATTGTCCGAGTCGAAGGCCCTTTCGGTGTCATTAGGCCACCTTTGAGGGGCCAGAGACCTCAGGAGGAGGAGGAAGAAGAAGGACGACACGGACGACACGGTAATGGCTTAGAGGAGACCATCTGCAGCGCCAGGTCCACTGATAACCTCGATGACCCGTCTCGTGCTGACGTGTACAAGCCACAGCTTGGTTACATCAGCACTCTCAACAGTTACGATCTTCCCATCCTTCATCTTGGCCTAATATGTCCAACAACACCACAATGATGGCAAACAGGTCGAAAAACTCGTCGAGGTGCACTCCGCAATGTTGGCATGCATGCATTTGAATAAGGGTGAACATTTTGAGTGTTCGGTTTGTTATAATATATGTCCATTTCTACAATCTAAACTTGACTCTTGCAACGTGTGTGGGTGTAGAACGCAATGGTGCTTCCACAGTGGAACGCAAACGCGAACGCGATTCTTTACGTGACAGACGGAGAAGCCCAAATCCAGATCGTAAACGACAACGGTAACAGAGTGTTTGACGGACAAGTCACTCAAGGACAGCTAATTGCCATACCACAAGGTTTCTCGGTGGTGAAACGCGCAACAAATAACCGATTCCAGTGGGTTGAGTTCAAAACAAACGCAAACGCGCAAATCAACACTCTTGCTGGACGAACCTCAGTCTTGAGAGGTTTACCATTGGAGGTCATAACCAATGGGTTCCAAATCTCACCCAAAGAAGCAAGGAGGGTCAAGTTCAACACGCTCGAGACCACTCTGACTCACAGCAGTGGCCCAGCTAGCTACGAAAGGCCAAGGGTGGCTGAAGCTTGAAAGCTTAAAATGGCGGCATAACAATGAACCCCTACTGTAAAAGGAAGTTAAATAGTACGTAGTAATAATAATAATAATGTACGAAAATGTGACTAGTTTTGTTGAGGTTTACCTGTAAAATGCCACTCCTTTTCTGAATAAAAAAACTTTCTTTTCAATCAAGTTAGGTCTAAATTAGGGTTCTTAGAGACTAGTTCTGACTTCTGAATGAGCTCAGAACGGATATAGACTCAAACGGAAGCCGGAAACTTTGGACTTTCACTCTACATTTGAGTTTCATTATCTAAATATTATGTTCTCACAATTTATTTAGAACAATCATTTTCAAAGCAAAGGTTCTGTCAAATATCAACTTTTCTTTTTAAGTTAGCAAAGCGAAGGTAGTTATTCAAAAATTTATATAAAATGATCAAAATTTATAAATTCGTTTATATTATACTTGAACCTTAATTTATTTGTAGCACTTCACTGAAATTTTTAGAAACCTATAAGATAATATTATAATAAATTTCACCTATGTGCATGAGCCATGATATATACTTTCTGTGCCTGTTTTTGTTTTTTTAACATGTTCTACTAAACACTTATCTGTGATGCAGAGCACCTCCATCAAGATATCTTGATGGGGTTCTCCTCTATTTTAAAATTGAAAATATTGAAAAAGTAGAAAAGAGATTAAGAAAGAGTTTTCATTTGAGAATCTTTGATCTCTTGTTTTGATATCCATTTTGACACTTAACATTATATTATATGATTAGTTTAGCTTTTATATGATTTGAAATTTAAATAAAAGTTAAAACTAATAAGATAATATATTTAAAAGATCTAAGAGCATCGGCAATGGTGAGTTCTAACCCATCTCTCACGAATAAAATAAAGAAAAAAATATAAAAAGGAGGAGGGAGGTAGAGAAACGTTTCTCTTTTGAGAAACCCATCACAAATGTTTCTTACAATTGTCATTCAATCATTGGTCTATTTAAAATACTTTCAATTAAATATTTATAATATTTGTGTTCACACCTATATATGTATTCACACTTGAGTTAGATACGGAAGTTGAGAAACTTCCGTTGTTGATGCTCTAATAGGATTCTTAATGAAGATGCTCTAAAAGTCATAACCAAAGTCGGCTTTGAGGCCAAGCAAATGCGGCCTTGTACAGTATAATTAAAATTTTTGGTCCTATATATATTTCAATGAGTTTTCTTTAGTTCGGTTGGTAGCGTGAATAATTGTGAATGGTAAGGTGTCGAATCCAAGTCTTTCTTTACCAGCTATCTCGTTTAATTTTTATTTGTTTCACTCTTTCAGTAATTCGTCAAGCCAAAATTTTGGCCTGCGGCCCATTTATACTCTCGAGCAGCTCTGGTCATAACGATCGATACAACTTGATTGGTTAGATGGCCAAAAACATAGAAATGGTAGAGTGGAAGTCCAGAGTTTGATCAATGTACGATATGAGGCTGAACCTGGTGTTCCAGTCTGGTGTTTCAATAAGTTAAGAGTTCATTCTTTATGTTAGTGATAAATTGTTTTCTTCGTAGTGGGGTTGGAACTCTCTTTGCGATAATGTAAGGATTATTAAAAAAGTGTGAGAGAAATAGAAAGAGCTCTGCTGACGTGGCAAGGAGAAATTAAGGCGATTAGGGTTTTTTTTGCTTTCTCATCAAGTTTGATGCCGCCGGAGGCTTCTCCGAGTCGTCTGGGGGATTTCCGGTGCCGGGAGATGGAGTGGTATCTCCGGTAATCGCAGCGAGTCAGGTAGAAGAGTTTCCGGTGTTGACAATGGGAGATGACAAAGAGGTTTCATCGGAGGGTTTAAGAGAAAGTCAATCCGACAAAGTTCACAAAGTTTCATCATCAAATCAAACGAAGGTACATCAGAATACTAAGAGATCGTTTCTTCAAGTGGCGCAGAAGCGAATCTTTACTCAACAAAAGTTTGTGGTCTCAGAAGTTGATGGCTGCGAGAAGGTTGTGGTGCCAAAGGAAGTGTTCGTCGGAGCAAAACCGATTGGGGGGATTTTTTTATTGGGAAATTTTTGAATGAGAAAGCACCGCAAGTGGGTAAGATTCATATGATAGTGAATAAGATATGGAGATTGGGGGTTCACACTTCTTTGATAGATGTTTTTGAGGTGAATGAGTCGACAGTTAAATTTCGTATCCGCAACCAAGGTATGAGACACATAATTCTTAACAGAGGCATGTGGAATATCATGGATATCCTCATGATAGTTTCCAAATGGACGCCATACGCGGAGGAAGCCCAACCAGCCATGAAATAAATTCCACTATGAGTCACGTTGATGAATGTTCCACCAACCATGTTTACGGACAAAGGGTTGGAGTTTTTGGCTAGTGCAGTTGGTAAACCAATGAGATTGCATCCTAAAACAGAGACTTTTGTAAGTTTTGATGAGTTGCAGATATTGGTTGAAGCGGATTTGACAAAAGAGCTACCAACAGAATTCTCTTTCACGGGAGAAGAGGAAGGTGAATTAGATTCTATCATTCGTTACTCGTACCTGTGGTTACCTCCGCGGTGCACTTGTTGTAAGAAATGGGGCCATCTTTATGCTACTTGTCTATCTGCAATAGCAGAAGAAAATAAAGATAAGCAAAGTCCAAACAAAGTTCAGGAGATACTCGAGGAAACAGAGACAAAAAGCAGTCCTATTATTCCGGAAACTGTAACAGCTACGGATATGAAGGACAGTGCCAATGAGGTGGAAATAAATAAGGAGGCAGCTGAAGAGAAGGGCGAGGAGGAGAAAGAAGGGTGGATCACTCCAAAATCAGGGAGAAGTAGTCCAGGGAAGAAGCAAGATGGTTTAAAATATGGTGAAGTCTCAATCCTGTCCAATGCATACTCTGTTTTGGAGCTGGAAAGAGATGAAACAGAGGTTGCAAAAACAGAGGTCTCACGGGAGAAAAAATCTGAGACTGTCCCCATTATTTCAGAGGCTTCTCAAAGGCAAGAGGTAGTCGCAAAAGGTCATACTCATAGAGAGGGTCCACTACAACCATCTTTGCCGAGAGGATCAAAAACAGCTCACAAAACACTTTCTCATCTTCAAGCTCCATCGGCTAGGGACTCCTCTAGAGATCAGAGTAAGAAGATTCCCCCCAAACACTCTTAATGTCAGGTTTCCTATGGAATGTTCGCTGCCTAACAAATCTTCAAAACATTCCGTAATAAAAAAGTGGGTGGAGGAAAATAATTTTTAATTCGGTTGTTTGCTAGAAACAAGAGTAAGGGAGGGGAAGGCGCAGAGGTTGGGAAGCCAGTTGTTTCGAGATTGGTCCATTTTAACAAACTATGAGTACAACCTATTATCCGGGATCCGGGATCCGCCGAGATCCGCTCTGGAAAACCAGATATACAGTCCTCCCGGATCTGAATCCGGATATCAAAATGTGAGATCCATCGAAACCGGATCCGGATCCGAATATCAAAATTGTTGGACACGGAAATCCGGATCCGGATCCGTTTCTTAAATTTTATATTTTTATTCACTATGGAATGTTGACTGTTTCACGTATCTATCATTTAATATGAAATATATATAAATATAAAAATTAAATGTCATTAAGTGAGGTGAGCTGAAATGAGGAAGTATAGGTAGGCATATATACAAACGTTGGAGACGTTCCCTTTTCCTAAATAACCGATGTGAGATATTTCAAAGTCTCTCTTCTCCTTTAGTGTTTTGTCCCACATCGCTTATAAACCCATCTGTTTTTTTTTAGTTCCTTATAAATACAGCATGTCTCCAATTTGTCAAAGCCATGGACGTTTGGGCTCACTTGGGCTCACGAAGCCCACTCGGATTTATTCCCAGAAGCCACTAAAGTTTAATTTTTTAATAATTTTGACGGATCCAAATCCGGATTCGGATATCCGGCGGATATCTTCCAAAGTCTCTCTTCTCCTTTAGTGTTTTGTCCCACATCGCTTATAAACCCATATGTTTTTTTTTAGTTCCTTATAAATACAGCATGTCTCCAATTTGTCAAAGCCATGGACGTTTGGGCTCTCTTGGGATCACGAAGTCCACTCGGATTTATTCCCAGCAGCCACTAAAGTTTAATTTTTAATAATTTTGACGGATCCAATTCTGGATCCGGATATCCGGCGGATATCAAATAAAAAAGCGGATATCCGAAAGGCGGATATCCATAGTCCACAGAGCCGGATTTGGATATGTAATATCCGGCGGATCCGGATCTAGGCCGGATATCCGGATCCGTCTCAGGGCTAAGTACAATGCAAGAGGTCGCATATGGGTTTTATGGTAGCATAATGTGAGACTAAGCCCTTTCTATAAGAGTGATCAAGTAATCACCTGTTCGGTGAAACTGGAAAATCAAGTGGAGGAATTTTTTGTCTCCTTTGTGTATGCATCAAATCTGGTGGCAAGAGTACGAGATTATTCAGATTCACCTATTATTCACCATAAGCCATGGTTGGTCATTGGTGATTTTAAAGTCACACTAGATATGGCAGAGCATTCAAAAGTAGATGATAACCCGCTGGTCACATTGGGGATGAGAGATTTTCAGGCGTTGGTGAATTATTGTTCAATCTCCGATATGGCATCGCATGGCCCGTTGTACACTTGGTGTAATAAGCGGGAAAACGATCTAATTTTGAAGAAGTTGGATAGAGTATTGATGAATGATGGATGGTTAAGAGCATTTCCACAAGCGTACAATGTATTCGAAGCAGGAGGGTGCTTGGATCATTTACGGTGTCGGATAATGCAAATTGGTGGAGGTAGTGGTGTTACTCACCATCGAAAACCATTCAAATTCGTCAATGTACTCACAGAGATGACATATTTCTTACCAGTGGTTGAGAATTATTATAAAGATACTGAGGAGCTATTTTTATCTACATCAACGTTATTTCGATTTTCGAAAAAAACTGAAAGGACTCAAACCAAAGCTACGCATTCTAGCAAAAGAAAGGGTCGGGAACTTGGTAAAGAAGGCAAATGAGGCATATGACATACTATGTCAAAACTTGCTGAATCCGAGCACCACTGCAATGGAAGAGGAAAATGAGGCTTATAAACGATGGGACCTTGTCGCCGGTCTGGAGGAGAAGTATCTCAAGCAAAAATCAAAGTTACATTGGTTAAATGTAGGTGACCAGAATAACAAAATATTCCATAGAGCGGCTGCTATACGGGAAGCAAAAAATAGTATAAAGGAAGTTCTATGCCAAGATGGTCGGGTTCTAGTGCAAAAAGATGACATAAAAGCTAAGGCTGAGAGGTATTTTCAGGAGTTTTTGCAACACGTCCCTAATGATTTTGCAGGAACTACGGTCGAGAAGCTTCAACAGCTTCTGCCTTTCCGTTGTTCTGATCCAGATCACCAAAATCTCACTCGCGTTGTCTCAGGGGAAGAGATCAAGAAGGTTTTGTTTGCCATGCCGAATGATAAATCTCCTGGGCCTGACGGGTATACCTCAGAATTTTATAAAGCATCTTGGGAGCTGATAGGAAAGGAATTTATCCTGGCGGTTCAATCTTTTTTTGTTAAGGGGTTTTTACCAAAGGGAATCAATTCAACAATACTAGCACTCATTCCCAAAAAAAAAAGGAGCTAGGCGATGAAGGATTTTCGACCTATCTCCTGTTGTAATGTGCTCTACAAAGTGATTTCAAAAATCATTGCGAACCGGCTCAAAGTTATTCTCCCAAGGTTTATTTCTGGGAATCAATCGGCTTTTGTCCAAGACCGCCTCTTGATCGAAAATGTGTTTCTCGCCACTATACTTGTTAAAGACTACCACAAGGACTCCGTCTCTTCTCGTTGTGCCATAAAGATTGACATCTCCAAAGCTTTTGATTCCGTTCAATGGTCTTTTTTGAGTAAAGTACTCTCGGCTCTAAACTTCCTGCCAACTATTATTCACTGGATTATGCTATGCGTTTCCACGACTTCTTTCTCGGTCCAGGTCAATGGGGAACTAGCGGGATATTTCCGAAGCTCTAGAGGTTTGAGACAGGGCTGTTTTCTATCTCCATATCTATTTATAATAAGTATGGATGTGCTTTCAAAAATGCTCGATAAAGCCGCCGAGGACAGGAAATTTGGATATCACCCACGGTGCAAGAAGTTGGGTCTCACTTATTTGAGTTTTGCGGATGAACTTATGGTTCTATCGGATGGACGAGTGTGCTCTGTAGAAGGCATTGTCAAGGTGTTTGATGATTTTGCCAAATGCTCGGGTTTGAAAATAAGCATGGAGAAATCCACTCTTTATTTGGCTGGAAACATGGCTGCATCTACGGAATAGTTAACATCACTCTTTCCATTTGAAGTAGGCCACCTACCAGTCCGTTATCTAGGGCTCCCATTGGTTACAAAGAGACTCTCAGCCGTGGACTATAGACCTTTGATTGAGCAGCTCCGGAAGAGAATCGAGTCGTGGACCTCACGCTTTCTCTCTTTTGCAGGTCGACTGAATTTAATTTCCTCAATCTTATGGAGCATATGCAACTCTTGGTTAGCAGCCTATCGACTACCAAGCGCATGTATCCGAGAAATCGAAAAGCTCTGTTCCGCTTTTCTGTGGTCGGGTACTGAGCTAAATTCACACAAGGCAAAGATCTCTTGGGATAATGTATGTAGACCAAAACAGGAAGGTGGTCTTGGACTGCGGTCGCTTAAAGAGGCAAACATTGTTTGTTGTATGAAACTTATATGGCGTATATACTCGCACAACAACTCTCTTTGGGTACATTGGATTCAGACATTCCTCCTCAAGAAGACTTCTCTCTGATCTATAAACAATGGTAACACAACGGGTTCATGGATATTGAAAAAACTTTTCAAATACAGAGCAATGGCACAACCTTTTTGTAGATTGGAAGTAGGAAATGGGGAAAAGACTTCTTTTTGGTATGATAACTGGTCATCAATGGGTAGTCTGGTGGATAGTGCAGCCAATCGAGGCTTTATAGACATGGGGATAAGTAAGATGCGCTCTTTGGAGACTGCTTGGGCTAATCGTCGAAGAAGAAGGCACCGTACGGCCCATTTAAATGCCATAGAAGAAGAAATCCACCAGAACTACCAAAAGAAAAATGACAGAGAAGACAAATTTCTTTGGAAGGGGAAGAATGATATTTTTGGGCCAAATTTCTCCACGAAAGATACATGGAACCATATTCGAACCACGGCCACCACAATCTCATGGCATAGAGGAGTTTGGTTTGCACACGCAACACCAAAATACTCTTTTTGTGTGTGGTTAGCAGCCCACAATAGACTCTCGACGGGTGATCGTATGATAAAATGGAACCAAGGAGCCTCGGGAACTTGTGTACTTTGTCAAGACCATTTGGAGACCAGAGATCACCTCTTCTTCTCATGTCAATACGGCTCAAAAATCTGGGAAGCTCTTGCAAAGGGACTTCTAAAAGCTAGGTACACAACAAACTGGCTCCTCATTCTCGACTACATCTGAAACGACCGGCTTGATAGAGTGGATGGATTCCTTATTCGATATGTTCTGCAAGTCGTAGTCTATACGATATGGAAAGAACGGAATGGGAGAAAACATGGGGAGAGTCCGCAACTGGCAGATTGTCTTATAGCTTGGATTGACAAGCAAGTAAGGAATCGAATTTCGACGATTCGCATAAAAGGAGATATGCGATATGAGGCAGCATACCAAACATGGATCAACTCGTATCTAATTTTCTTTTCTACTTGAATTTTCAATGTTTTTTCCTCAGCTTTTCTCTTTTAGCAAACAGTTGCACAAGTTGTAAAAACGTTTATTTTTTCTTTTGAATATAATTTAATATTACATTAAAAAAAAAAGATAATGTAAGAATTAATACGAATGTGTCTTTGAATATCAATGGATTCGAAAAAATAATTTGTAGCTCGGAGATCTTTGTTTTTGCGTATCAACGGATCACAAGAACTGAGAAATCAACAACTTCAAAGTTTCTCTTTTATTAATCAAAAACAACCAACGATTCCAATACAAGAGTTAGAGTACATATACTAACTCTAAAGAAGAATTAGAGTATATATACTAACTCTGAAGAAAATTCTAATTGTCAAGACTTGGTGACAAAGCATCTCAAAGCCAACATATTGTATGTAAAACTCACACGTACTTAAGTAAAACCCCAATAATAATAATAAATAAATAAATAAATAAAAAACAGTAAACAAAAGCCTAATTATGAGAGGAGTATATATGGATGTCGCTACATCAGATTTTTTGGGGTAAGAGAAAATTCGACATTGAATTTTCATCTGAATCATCGGCCACCAAAAGGGAACAAATATTTAACCTTAAAAACGTCAGCCATATACAAAATGTGGTGAACGATGCATATAAACGTTGTTGTTTATCTTCTCCAAGATCTCAAGGGCCGATCTTCCATGATTTCAATTAGTTATAAGTGTGAGCAGGAATATATTAATAATGAGTACAACACAACTAAAAATTAGAATTCTCGTCTTTAGTGCATTGTGTTAACAAATCGTTTATATATATTTCTGAAAACTGAAAATTAAAAAAAAAAACCAGAAAACTTAAATTTTTTATCTTTAGTGAAAAATAAAACTTATCGTTTAATTTTGGTCCTTAAAAAACTATTCCGCGTTATTGGTACTCTCCAAATTACAAGACCGATTTGTTGGCTTGGAAAGTATGAACCTCGTTTTACAGTTGTAGCTTTTTTCTCGGGTTTGGATTACCCTTTCAGGCATGATAAGTAGATAACATACATAACAAACCAACTAATCTATAATCTAATTCCACAAATTAAACAAAAAATCAAAAATCAAAAATAAAAAATCGGAGCTGGAGCAGTCCGTTTCCAACGTAATTGTTATACTGATCAAATTAAAATGTAATTTGTCCTATAAACACAATATCATAGATGAAATTATTTTATCTTGAGGAACAAATCCACTGTATACAATAAATAAAGATTTGTCCTGTCGCTAATACATGTTCCTATCTCAAAGCTGATGTGTAAGAAACATGCACTTGAATAAGCCATGCAAATTGAAATGTGTCAATTCCCTCCATTAATTAATTTCCTTACAATATGAAGCCAAAATCTATTTTCCGATGAAGACATGAAAGTAGCAATTTTAGTGAACTGTAAATTGTACATAGTCGATTTTATATACCTGGTTCTTATTTCAATCAATTTATACTCAAAACCCCTAAACAAAATTCCAGAATAAATCTCTTATAAATAGCTTCACGTAATGCAAGTGAGAAACCACAAAAAAAAAGTAAGAAAAGATAAAAATGGCTCGAGTCTCTTCTCTTCTTTCTTTCTCCTTAACACTTTTGATCTTTTTCGATGGCTACGCGGCTCAACAGGGTCAGGAGGGTCAGCAGTTTCCAAACGAGTGCCAGCTCGACCAGCTCAATGCGCTCGAGCCGTCACACGTACTGAAGAGCGAGGCTGGTCGCATCGAGGTGTGGGACCACCACGCTCCTCAGCTCCGTTGCTCAGGCGTCTCCTTTGCACGATACATCATCGAGTCTAAGGGTCTCTACTTGCCCTCTTTCTTCAACACCGCCAAGCTCTCTTTCGTGGCTAAAGGTACATACGATTATTTCTATATCAAGATTCGAATGGTTCATGCTCTTTTTGGATTGGTTTACTCTTTTCTTTTCTAAATTGAAACATCCCTAATTTTCTCTATATATATATATATATATATATATATTATAGAGCTATATATGTAATTTATATGTGTTCAACTGTAGGTCGAGGTCTTATGGGAAAAGTGATCCCTGGATGCGCCGAGACATTCCAAGACTCATCAGAGTTCCAACCACGCGGAGGCGAGCAGTTCGAGGGTCAGGGTGAAGAAGGTCAAGGTCAAGGTGAAAGGCAAAGGTTCCGTGACATGCACCAGAAAGTGGAGCACATAAGGAGCGGTGACACCATTGCCACAACACCCGGTGTAGCACAGTGGTTCTACAACGACGGACAGCAGCCACTTGTCATCGTTAGCGTCTTCGATCTAGCCAGTCACCAGAACCAGCTTGACCGCAACCCAAGGGTATATATAAACCAAAACCTCAAAAAGAATCACTATAAAGTTACAAAATAACAAAAAATAATGTGGTTATTTTTCTTGGTGTGTTATATATGAAGCCATTTTACTTAGCCGGAAACAACCCACAAGGCCAAGTATGGCTACAAGGACGAGAGCAACAGCCACAAAAGAACATTTTCAATGGATTCGGACCCGAGGTTATTGCTCAAGCTTTGAAGATCGATCTTAAGACAGCGCAACAACTTCAGAACCAAGAAGACAACCGTGGAAACATTGTCCGAGTCGAAGGCCCTTTCGGTGTCATTAGGCCACCTTTGAGGGGCCAGAGACCTCAGGAGGAGGAGAAAGAAGAAGGACGACACGGACGACACGGTAATGGCTTAGAGGAGACCATCTGCAGCGCCAGGTCCACTGATAACCTCGATGACCCGTCTCGTGCTGACGTGTACAAGCCACAGCTTGGTTACATCAGCACTCTCAACAGTTACGATCTCCCCATCCTTCGCTTCATCCGTCTCTCAGCCCTCCGTGGATCCATCCGTCAAGTAAGTTCAAATTTATTTTATCTAAGTGGAACCAAGTAACATATGCATGCATGCATTTGAATAAGGGTGAACATTTTGAGTGTTCTGTTTGTTATAATATGTCCATTTCTACAATCTAAACTTGACTCTTGCAACGTGTGTGGGTGTAGAACGCAATGGTGCTTCCACAGTGGAACGCAAACGCGAACGCTATTCTTTACGTGACAGACGGGGAAGCCCAAATCCAGATCGTAAACGACAACGGTAACAGAGTGTTTGACGGACAAGTCACTCAAGGACAGCTAATTGCCATACCACAAGGTTTCTCGGTGGTGAAACGCGCAACAAGTAACCGATTCCAGTGGGTTGAGTTCAAAACAAACGCAAACGCGCAAATCAACACTCTTGCTGGACGAACCTCAGTCTTGAGAGGTTTACCATTGGAGGTCATAACCAATGGGTTCCAAATCTCACCCAAAGAAGCAAGGAGGGTCAAGTTCAACACGCTCGAGACCACTTTGACTCACAGCAGTGGCCCAGCTAGCTACGAAAGGCCAAGGGTGGCTGAAGCTTGAAAGCTTAAAACGGCGGCATAACAATGAACCCCTACTGTAAAAGGAAGTTAAATAGTACGTAGTAATAATAATAATAATGTACGAAAATATGACTAGTTTTGTTGAGGTTTACCTGTAAAATGCCACTCCTTTTCTGAATAAAAAATATTTCTTTTATCAAGTTTGTTGGGCTTTCCAAACCCAAGTATTCTTATTAGATGTGCAAACATCCTTGTCCTCCAAAGAGAGAAGTCTCCTGACCCATCGAATCGCTAAATCTCAAGCTTTGTATTCGTCAACAAGTAAGTCCTCCACCAAACCTATGTCTCTGATGCCACTTGTCAAGTAGTCTTTGTGTCTTACTTAGATGATGAGCAAAGTATACAAAACTTTCACCTAGCTAGGTATTGTTAGAATAAACGAAGATCGTTTTTTGAAAAATGTACATATTCTTACACCAAAATTGGAGGCCGTAAATAATTTAAAACCAATATCGAAACAAGAAAACTTAAAAATTAGCTGCGGATATTGTAAGTGCGGATGAGGTAAGAGAAATTGTGGAAAGTAAACGAGACAAGAAATTTGTTAACGAGGTTCGGTTTTTCCTACTCCCCGGGATCAAGTCCAGATTCGATTTCACTAGAACAAGAAAGCAAATTACAACCAATTCGCAAACGCGTAAAACAAGCCCAACCCTCTTGATTTACCGCTTCCTTCTATAACGTGAAACCTTAATGATAATCTCTACCCTTAACTAAACTCCCCTTGAGTCTAGATTTAATCAGGATAACCTAACCCTGAGCTAAACTCCCCTTGAGCCTAGACTTCAAAACAAACCACTTGATCACACAAGCACAAACCGCGAAACTATGTCGCACAAAACCACGAAACTATGTCGCACACACCCTCAGAAAGCTCTCAGTTCCTGTGTCAGTTCCTGAAGCAGACGTGATTTTACCACCATAAACAAACACCGGATCCGATTTGGAAAGACTTCCTTTAAATCCAAGGCCACACTTATGTGTCTTTCCTATATTCAGAATATGATCCAACTTCTTTGTGCCATTATTAAGCATCCTCAAATTCTTTTGAGTTTCTTCAAGTAGTACTTTAGCTTGTGATGCTTCTTCTTCTTTCTCTACCGCATATTTTTGTGCTTCAATGACTTTAGCCTCTAACTTGAGTTTCTCCTTAGTTAACATTGAATTCTCTTCAACTATTTTAAGCCAATGCTCATATAAGGCTTTGTAATTCTCATGAAACTCTTCATCACTAATACTTTCATCGTCATCACTTTGATCATTGACACTTCCAATTGCAGATCCTGTTGCAGATGCTGATGCAGACCCTGATGCAGATGCTGATGCAGACCCTGATGCAGATGCTGATGTAGACCTTGATCCAGACTTTGCTGCAGAACTAGACTCAAAAGTTGTAAACGCCACAAAATTCTTCAATTCTTCACCATCATCTGAGTCAATTTCAGAATCACTCATGATAAATCTCTTCTTCTTTTGCTTCAGCAAATTCGCACATTCCAAACGCACATGTCCAAAACCTTTGCACTCAAAACATTGTTTGCCCTTCGATGAATTGTCCAACTCTTCTCTTTTTCCATTAGCCCTAAAACCGTGAAGAGATCTGTTTCCCTCATTCCATGAGAACCGCTTCTTGAATGGCAAACTCAATATCTCCATCAATCTTGATATCAAACTCTGTCTTACTTCCTGAACGATCTCCTGAACGATTTCCTGACCTCACCCTTGATCTACCCGAAACAAGACTAAATCTCTATCGAGAACCCGCTCTGATACCAATTGTAAGTGCGGATGAGGTAAGATAAATTGCGGAAAGTAAACGAGACAAGAAATTTGTTAACGAGGTTCGGTTTTTCCTACTCCCCGGGACCAAGTCCAGATTCGATTTCACTAGAACAAGAAAGCAAATTACAACCAATTTGCAAACGCGTAAAACAAGCCCAACCCTCTTGATTTACCGCTTCCTTCTATAACGTAAAACCTTAAGGATAATCTCTACCCTTAACTAAACTCCCCTTGAGTCTAGATTTAATCAGGATAACCTAACCCTGAGCTAAACTCCCCTTGAGCCTAGACTTCAAAACAAACCACTTGATCACACAAGCACAAACCGCGAAACTATGTCGCACAAAACCACGAAACTATGTCGCACACACCCTCAAAAAGCTCTCAATGATTTGACTCTATGCCTCTGCTCTCTTGCCTCTCAAAGACGTCCTCAGCTCCTCCACATATAGCCAAAACGATTTCCTAATCAGCATAGGGGAAGATTTCCAATTTCCATAAGAAAAAGTAAATTTCCTTTTACACTTTTCCTTTTCCTTATCAAACTCCACTTTCATCAAGTCTTCCAAATCTCTTTAAGTCTTTTTTTCTTTGTGATTCATCTTCCAAACATGCTCTAAACATATCTTCTCAAACCTTCTAGAAACCGACACTCACACAAAAACAGTCGCATCTTGACTTACTTCTTGAATCATTCAGCAACTCCATCAGACAAAATCTTGTATTACATCTTGACTCATTCAACAACTTCATCAGGCTGCAGCTACATCTTCAGATATCACTTGTTTTTTTAGAAAAATAAGAAATCGTGAGGTTGGAGATCCAGGTTTTGTCTAGAAGTTAAATTTTTTGATGTCAAACTAAAAAAAGTAAGAATTAATGACATTTTTTATTATTTTGAAAAGGAATATATTGTAATTGACTTTAAAATTGGAATTTTTTTACAAATTTTCCTATGAAAGTACCACTATTCAAATTAATATTCCAAAACGTAGTATTTTGACAAATGTTGCTATAGTTATTTAGCCATTGTGATGGTATACAAAAAAACTTAATCTTGAATTTCGTCTAATTAGTTTATCAGCTAGTGCGTTTCAAAACGAGGTAGTGTACTTATTGGTGGTATTCATTTTTCTTGAGAGGTGTTTAATGTACATATTTAGTCCATTAAAAACCATTCAAAAAATTAGATATGGTTGCCAAGCCCATTATCCATGCCGCATCATATCTATAAGGGTTTGACTGGTTTAAACGCAGCGGTTGCGATTGCGGTTGTGGGAGTTTGCGGAAGCGGGTGATTGCGATTTCAAGCGTTATTTAGGGCTTGATTGTTCTCCCGCTAACACCCTCCTAGCGGTTGCTAGCGGTCGGTTGCGGTTGTTAGCGGTTGGTACTAATCATAGAAACCGCTCCGTACCGCTTCGAATCGCTGAATTTCAAAAGCTCCTTCCCGCAAGCGTTTGCGGTTGCGGGCGGTAGCGGTTGGATTAAAAAAAAAAATCAAACATTTACTTATAATTATTATAATATATATTAATCATATATATATCTTTCATCTTTGTATCACGTTCTCATCAGAAACTCTAATAATATTCTAAAACCCTATTCTCTCAATGTCTTCCACCCAAACTGATAAAAATCAATAACCAAACGTAAGTATCATATTATCCTTTTATTCATTCATCACCTCATGTGTAACTTTTTGAATATTTTTCATGGCATCGTTTTTTTTAATTTTCATTACGTATTGCTTTGCTTTTTGATTGAATATATGTTTCGATTTGTTTTCTCGAATAGAAACTCACTTGCTTTTTGATTGAATTCAAAGTTATTTACAGTTTGTCCCATTACTTGATGCAATTTTAGATGTTAAACCAGATGCATAATAAAGTACTATCTTGTTACAAAATTTCTTTATTTTTGAATAATTATTTAGTACTTTATTTATCGTTTTAATTATTAAGCATGTTCAATTTTTCTAATATTATCATAATAATATATTGGTGTTTTTATTTCTTTTTTTTTTGTAATATTTTTTATTTATTTTGGTCATTTTTTTATTTAACTGCTACCGTACCCGCTGATTTACCAGTCATAAAACTCCCGCAAACGCACCCATTTTCAAACGCTAAACCAGTCGTTCAAAACGCTTGATAACGCTTGAAGCCGCAACCGCCCGCTTCCGCAAACTTCCGCAACTGCAACCGTAACCGCTGCGTTTAAACCAGTCAGGCCCTTAGCGTTTTGACCGACTGGTTAAGCGGTTGTAAACGGGTGCGTTTGCGGAAGATTTACGACTGGTTGATCAGCGGGTACGATAGCGGTTAAACCAAAATATACCAAAATAAATTTAATATATGATTATAAAAAAGTATAAAACACCAAAAACTATAATTATGAAAAAAGTATAAATTTTTTAAACATGATTAATGATTAAAAACTATAAATAATTATTCAAATAAATTTTATATTGAAAACAAAAATAATTATTAATATTCTAAAATTAAAGTTAGATAATTATTATTTTTTTAGAATTAACGTGAATATATATGACTTGATAATATATATTATAATTTATTTATTTTCTTTTTTTTTAGTTTCTTTCCTTTTTTAAACTAACCGCAACCACCCGCAACTGCAAACGCTTGCGGGAAAGAGCTTTTGAAATCCAGCGATTTCAAGCGGTACGAAGCGGTATGGAGCAATTTCTGTGATTGGTACCAACCGCTAACAACCACAACCAACCGCTAACAGGCGCTAGGCGGGTGCTAGCGGGAAAACCAATCAAGCCCTAAGTTTATCTCATTAGTCATTTGCATATTAATTCTATATTTTTTTGTGCACTTTGTTTATGATTTTATCACGTTTGCTTTTACTTTATTTTCTTAGTTTTTATAAGTGACAAATTCCCTCCATGACCACCCCCAAACTCATACTATCATTGTTCTAGTTTCTCTTACTTAAGTCCTCGTATGTGCATTAAGTCCCTTCTCGTGGTTAGAAATTACACCTAAATACGAGTATATCTGTGTAATCAATCATGCACTCAGCTTCTGTAGGATTTGGTCCGGCATTTTCCGCGGCTGCTGCTTGACTCAGTCGCCGTGACCGCCGAACCGGAATTCTTCTCTTCCCCCCACGAGTTTTAGCCATCATCAGTCGGAATTTTAACAGAGGGAAGCGAGAGAGAGAGATTGGGATTCTAGGGTTAGAAAATGAAATCGATGTGTCTAAAATGGCGAGTCAAACAAACTTCGCTAATTAATTGTAAAGTCAATAAAAACTTTATGATTTAAATGTCTTCATCGTAGTCCAAGATTAAATCGTCCCAAATTTGAAAGTTCATGATTTTTTTGAC